ATTGTTTGTGCATAACACCCAGTGCTCCATGCAGAACGTGCCCTCTTTAATACCCATCACCAGGCTAACCCATCCCCCTACCCCCTCCCCTCTAGAACCCTTGGTTTGTTTCTCAGAGTCCACAGTCTCTCTTGGTTCTTCTCCCCCTCCGATTTCCCCCCCTTCATTCTTCCCCTCCTGCTATCTTCTTCTTTTTTTTTTCTTAACATATACTGTATTATTTGTTTCAGAGGTACAGATCTGTGATTCAGCAGTCTTGCACAATTCACAGCGCTCACCATAGCACATACCCTCCCCAACGTCTATCACCCAGCCGCTCCATCCCTCCCATAACCCCGAGGGTTTGCTGCACGTCTGGAGGGCTGAGACGGCGGCCCTCAGTTCACTCACGGCACATCCTTGAGCGTGTCCCGCAGTTCGCGGCCCAGGTTCTGGATGTACAACCACTGGCCCTCCTGCACAGGCTGCCCCGTGAGGTGCACATTGTCCACAGTCAGCTGGGCCTCGTCGAACAACCACTGCACCACAAACACTGGGCCTGGGGGGCAGAGCTCAGCTGGGCCTTGCCTCGGCACTCGGCCCCCCAGCCCAGGCTGGGGGCCTCTGAGGTCCCAGCCAGTGCCACGGTAGGCTCACAGACCAGCTGGGCTCCCCCCCAGAGTGCTGGCCACCAGCCCCCCGCAGCACCCTTGTTTGAGGAAGACCCTTGGCACCCACCCCCACCCCTCCCCCAGCCTGGCTCCCAGGGACTCTGCTTTGACCAAAGCTTGGTGATGCTGTCCCTTTGAGGGTGGAGAGGAGGAGGGACAGCCAAGGCCCCATCAAGGGCAGGGCTGGGACTCGGCTGCCAAGCACATTCCTCACTGTGAATGTGGACGGGGTGACCAACTGTCCTGGTTTGCCTGGGACCAAGTGGACTTTCAACGCTGAGACCAGGAAGGTCCCAGGCAGACCCGGATGACTCAGGTACCCCACTCCCATGTAGGCGGTTAGGGGTCTCCAGACCAACTTCTAGACTCCAGGCCGGAGGAAGCCTAGACCGACACTCCCTGCCCCCCACCCCCCACCCCCCCGCCCTGGCCCGTGGGCCCCTCCACAGCTGGCCCCTCACAGCGCAGCGTCGGGTAGACTTTGTAGCCAAAGAAGCAGTTCCACTCCTCTCCATCCTTGAACTGGTGCCGACAGCGCTCCGGGACCACCCCATTCCAGTACCTGAGTACATGCCGTGGGTCAGGCGGGCCCCCAGCCCCTCCCCCCGCCCCGCCCCCCCAGGCGCGCTGCCCGGGAGCCGGTGGGCCCAGCCAGCATCCCAGCGTCCGGCACCTGATGCCGCGGCGGATGGCCTCCGTGGGTGCGCAGGTGACCGTGTCGACGCAGTCTGTGCGCCGGTACTGCTTGTTGTCCAGGAACCAGCCCGAATCCGCCAGGCCCCGCACCTGGATGGCTGGGTAACCCAGCTCCTCCAGCTGCTCGGCCACGCGGTCCACGTTCAGCAGCACCCCTGTGCCCCCCGCGCTGCGGAGAAGGCAGCATGTGAGGCCAGGTGCGGCCCCAGAACCCGCCCTGCCCCCAGCCCAGCCCCCAGGACAGGCAGGGATCCTGATGCATTCTGAACTGCCAACGGGCTCCATGTCATGTGTGAGGCCCATAGGCCTTTTGGGGTCTCAGAAGCACTGACCCCAAGGCAATGAGCTAAGTGGCAGGCCATCCCACTTCCTCTTTCCCTTCTCTCTCACTCTCTGACTCAGTTTTCTTATCTGCAAACGAAGACGACATATGCGGCCTCAGGCCCCACCATCTAGTCTATAGATGTCCTCTGGCCCCCTGCACGCCCGCAACCAGGTGTGATCCCACTTACAGGGACCCCGGCCCCTGGAGAAGGCGCCCTGGTCCACAACTAGCCCCCACCGACTAGCTAGGTCACTGTAGTCCAAGGCTTCCCAGGCATCCCGCCGCCCTCCCGCCACCGCTGCCTGCCCAGGCTTGGTGAGGCCGGAGCCCTAGAGAGTCCCAGGCTCTGCCCCTCCTTGCCCGCCCATCCCCACTCCCGCCACACCCCCTGCGCTCTCACGCCCCGCCCTGCCTGGCTCACCTGCTCCCGGCCAGCAGCAGCACCTTGGCCCCGCTCAGCCCCTTGCCCAGGAGCTCTCGGACCACCTCCTGGATGATGAGGGCACCCATGAAGGCATACTCGTCTGCATGGGGGAGGAGGGCGGCTTCAAGTGGGGGCCTGGACAGAGAGCAAGGCCTCCTGCCTCCAGGTGGGAAGGAGCAGGAGTTCTAGCTGGGGGCCTGGAGGCTCTTCCAGGGGATGGGGCCAGGGCTGGGGTGAACTGGAGGGAGGTGGACAGGTGCCGAGGCTATGCTGGGGGCCCCTTCCCAGGGAACATCCAGGAGGGCGGACCCCTGCAGGGACCAAGCCAGCCGTGGATAACCGGCAGTGGGTGCTTGGGGCAGGCATCCTGGGACACACTGTCAGGGGATTAGACGGAGTTACGAGACTGGCCTCCCGGCCTCGTCTTTCGGGGGCAGGGAATAGAGAGGAAGGCAAGGGACTCACTCTTCTCAGACTTGGATGAAGCCCCACTCCAGACATCGCTGGAGCAGTAGGGGATGAAGCTGTGACACAAGGACAGGGTGAGCTTGCCGCCGAACTCCTCCGCTGCCCAAGGCCCTCAGGAAGGACCCCCTCCCCAGGAAGGACCTCTCTGAGGACAAGACCCTCCCAAGGACAGGACTGCCCGGGAAGGACTCCCCGCCGCCAAAAGGGCCCTCCCCCAGGAGGACCACCCCCATGGGACTCCCCAGGAAAGAAATGACCCCCCAGGAAGCACCACTCTGCTCTCCCTCTTACACCATGTTGGCATTCCACCAGTGGGGGTTTTCCTCAGGCTGGGAGGACAGGATCCCTGTACCTGCGGTGGGGGAGGACAGAGGCAGTGGTCTTTCTGGTGGGAAGGGGTGTGCAGCAACGGAGACTACAGAAAGGCGTGGGATGTGGGCCATCCTGCTTGGCCACGACGCAAGTGGACGTGACCCTGGACCTCTCCCACCCTCCACCGGCTGCTTTGGCCTAGGGATGAGTGGGGGACAGAGCAGCCATGGTAAGCCCCCCCACCCCGGGAGGGTACCTGTGGAATAGGAATGAGGGATGATAGGTGGGAGCCCCCGACCTTAGGAGGGCTAGAGAACTGGGGGGTGGGCGGGGCGGGGGCCTCCTCAGGGCTCTAGAAAGCGAGGAGGACAGGAGTTCTTCCGGAACTTGGAACCGGGAGCCCAGCCTGCCCTGCCCAAGCGGCAGGCGGCAGCCCCGGCCATCCGAGGCTTGCGACTGGCTGACCTGTGCGGGTGCGCGGCCAGTCTCTGGAACTCATGAGGCGCCGCATGGTGTCATAGCGGGAGTCGCAGTTCTCCCGATTGAAGCAGTACCAGCCACCTGCGGGCACAGCCACCCTGTCAGGGCCCAAGCACCCAGGGGCCTCCGCCCACCTCGCCGCCTGGGCTCCTGGGACGCACCTTCCAGAAAAAGGAGCCACCGCCGACTGCCCTTGGATTCCTTCAGGTAGTAGCTGCAAGAGGGGAAGGAGGGACGGGCGGACAGGGTGGTCAGCTGGGGCTGCAGGACCCAGCTCTGGGGAGGAAAGGGTCATTCCACCTGTCGCCGGGCGCACGCGCCTGCCGCACGGGGGCGCCAGCGGCCAGGTCCCGCAGAGCGCGCGCGGCCCCGCCAGCGGTGGCCCGTCCCGGGAGGTGGCGCTCGCGGGGCGGAAAGGCCCGCGAGGGGCTGTGTGGTCCGTGGAAAATCCCCACGGCCCGCCCCGCGCGGGACCCGCTGTAACCTTGGCGCCAGCGGCCGGGCGGGGGGAGCGATCTTCGCCGGCCTCGGGATCTCCTGGGACGCGCAGTGGTGCTTGGAGACTGAAAAGAGCCCTCGATAGAGGAGTGTGCGTGGGGCGGGGGCCCTGGGACCCGCCAGGAGGCCGTGGGAGGGCACGGGTGTCACCGGGCCCCGACCTAACGTCTGGTCCTCCGGCTGTCGACTAGCTGAGGGTGTGGGGGGCCCCTGACCCCTCCCCAGCCCTCCCGCTTACATCCTTCCTTCATATACTTGGGGGCTGGAGAGGGGTGAATGCCGCACCCCCGGTCCTTCTGCCCCACCTGCGCCCCTTCCCTGTCCCTCTGGCTGGCTGGGATCCCAGGCAGTGCCGGCAGCAGCAGGGAGCAGACAGGGCTGGAGTGGAGCTGGGGTGGGGGTGGGGGTACAGCAGGACTCTCCCCGCCCCGCTGCGTCGCCTCCTCCTGCTGGTGCCAGGGCCACTCGAGGACTGCCATCTCCCCGCCCAGAGACCGAAGGACGCGAGCAGAGGGGCTGGGCACCAGTGGCCGAGGGGTCAGTGCCCGGCCTGGCTGGACGCCAGCCCTCCGAGCGCTGCCGCACCGCACCCCACCCCCGCTGCGGGTCCCCGAGCCGGGCCCTCCCCAGGGCCGGCTCCTCTCCCCCGGGGGCGACCAGCGCAGAGACGCCGTGCGTCCGAGGGGGCAACGGAGGCGGACGGCACTCGCGCCTTGGTGGCCAGGCGGCCGGAGCCGGTGCGGGCGGGTGCAGGGGCGCGCCGGGCGGGTGCGGGCGGTGCGGGCGGTGCGGGCCTTACCCCGCGGGGCTACCGTCGTTGCAGGTCACGGACGTGTTGAGCAAGAGGTGCAGGCGCAGGTCCTCGTTGAGCTGCTGGGCCGAGCAGGGGTACAGGGACTGAGCCAGGCTTTTGACCTGCGCCATGAAGCTGTCCATGTTGCCCTCCACGGCGGTGAAGTCCAGCGGGAAGCTCTCCACCGGCTGCCCCGCCGCAGGGGCGGCCTCGGCACGAGGCGGGGGCGGCGGCGGGGGCGGCTGCTGGCTGCGGCGCCGCCAGGTCTTCCTGCCTTCGCCGCCCCCGGCCCAGTGCAGCAGGCCCAGCAGCAGCAGCACGCGCACCCCTCGGCCCATGGCCCCGCCGCTCGGGCCCGCGGCCACCTGCGGAGAGCGGGCGGCCTTGAGGCGGCTGCGGCGGCGGCGGGGGCGCCGGGCTGGGGGCGCCGGGCCGCGGGGCGCCAGCCGCGCCTGCTCGCTCGCACCGCTCCCCGCGCTGGGCCCGGCAGAGGAAGCGCAGGCGGCTCGGCGTCGAGGCTCCGGGGGCCGGGCGCCGTCGGCCTGGGCAGCTCGGGCTCCGCGCGCGGCCGGCGAGGGCAGCGCAGGGTCTGGGTGCGCTGGCTCCGGCCCGCGCCAATAAGCGGCGGGGGCCGAGCCTGGGCGTAGTTTGCGGGGGCCGCGGCGGCCCGAGTGCCCGCGCGTTAGATGTGCCGCCGCCGCCGCCGCCCGGCTCGGCGGAGGGGGAGGGGGCCGCATTCGCTCTTTTCTTGGCGGAGGCATCGCCTTTTCTTCCCAAACCGCAAGCCTGACGGAGGGGCCTGGCCTACCCCGCCGCGGCCGCCGGAGGCGCTCCCGGCCCGGCTCCGTGGGGGGCAGCGCGGCCCCGCGGTCCCGGCAGCTCCATTCCCCGCGGCCGGCCCGGCGCCGCCGCCCCCGCCCCCGGGAGGCTGGAGGGGGCGTCAGGGGGGACGGCGCTGGCAGGAGCGGGGCTTTTCCGCGCCGGGACTCCGTCTGCTGCGCAGGGGCCGGGCCCGACGGGCTGGGGGCGCAGGGCGGGCGCACTCACCTGAGCCGCCGGGGTCCCCCCTCACCCCGCTGCCCAGGCCCAGAGAAGCCCGCGGGCGACCCGGACCCCGGCCCGCCCCCCCCGCCTCCCGCCCCGATCCGGCCCGAGCCCCGCGCTCACCGCGGCCGGCCCCGCGGCCCCGGCTCCTCGGCGTCGCTCGCCCTGCGCCAGCCCGCTGGGACGCCGGCTCGGCTGCGCTCCCCCTCTGGCGCTGGCGCGGAGCCGCCCGGGACTTTTATCCAGCGGGGCCCCCGGGATCAAAGCGACGGCGGACACAGGGCCCCGCGCCGAGGGGCCGGCAGCAGCGGCGCCGGGGCCTCCAGGAGGAGCGGACAGGTGTGGCGCGGGCCCCGGCGCCCTTGGTGACCTGCGGGAGGCACCGGGCGTCCCCGGCACGGCGCCACGGGGGAGTCGCCCGATCCCGCCACCTGGATAGACACATTCTGGGCGGCGCTGGGAAGCAGTGGGGCGCTGCCACTTACCGAGGTCGGTGGGCCTCGGGGTAGGCTCCTGGATCCTCTCTGCCTGAGCCCTGGCTGAGCGCTCCACCCCAGGGACCCCCAAGAATCTCTCCCTGCTCCAGCCACCACTGGGAGTTCAGGGGGCCAGGATCGATGAGCCGCCGGCTTGGTCTCCAGCCAACCTAGTTCATCTGCCCCATCAGCTCACCTTCCTGGTGCACCTCACTGAGGACAGAATGAGATTCTTTCTCAGAAATCAAAACGGGGGGGGGGCAGGTGTTTGCTTAGGAGGCTTCTAGCGGGTGGGTGGGGAGAAAAAAAAAGCATTTGTTCACCCTCCACACCCACAAAGTGCCATGAACAGCTTTAGCAGACCTTTTTCCTTAATCCTTCCCATCTACAGTCCAGTGGATGCCATCACACCCGTTTTTAAAGACAGGCCTTGCCTTTTGGGACAGGGGTCCAGACTGGGGCAGGGCTTCCTGAGCCCCTCTCCTAATTCAGGGCAATGGGGAGGCTGTGTCCTCTGGGGAACACCTGCAGCCCCTTGTGGGGCAAGAGATTAGAGGCTGCCAGGAGCTCGGGCAGCACCTTCCTAGCCCCCCACCCCACCCCACCGACTGCCGTGGGCCCTGAGTGCTCTCTGTCCTCACCAGGCCTGAGGCTGAGTGCTGAGCTGCACACACAGCAGGCTGCTCTGGCTGGTATCCCAGTAAGACCAAACAGGGCCCCTAACAGCCAATGTTTGGGCCCTTGAGGGGTATGAGATGCTGTGGCAGAGCCCTCGAAACCTAAGATGAGTCTGAGGTGCCCCGGAGGTTGGCCTGGCCTGGGGTCATTCAACCAAGGAGAGGGCAGGCTGTGTCACACGCGCGGGTCCTCTCCACAGGCACCTTTGGGGTGGCTGTGTGCCCATTTTCTGGATGAGGGGAACTGAGACTCAGAGAGGCTAACAGAAGTGCTGAGAATGAGTTCTGTTCGTTCAGCAATCCACACTGGCTGTACCCCTGTTATTGGGTCAGCTTAGAGGTCATACTTGGGACCGGCCAGCCAGAGGCAGTGGCTTCAAACTTCGGTTCCATCCAGAGAATTCCACCTTCCCCCTGGCCCCAGCTGACCTGGATTTTGGGGAGAACCTGCCCAAGGAGCCCTCTCCCTCTAGGAGCCTGTTATCCCCAGTCCCAGGCAGGGGAGTGCTACTTTCAGCGGAATGGCGTGACCCAGTGGGGTTGTGCTTCACGCAGACTGGGCTCTGAGCCATTTCCTGGCTGGGAGATCCAGGGCAAGGCCTGTGACCTCTCTCTGTGCCTCCGTTTCCTCTTCTTTAAAGTGGGGTAATGACCGTACCTCTATCAGAGGTTCTTTTGTGGGATTACGGGAGCCCATGCGTGAAAGTGCTCGGCATGGTGCGCGGCAGGGATGGCAGTTACGATTGCCAACAAAATTCCAGGACAAGGGAAAAGCGTGCATATTATACCCACTGGTGTTTGCTCTAATGTGTCCTAGCCTGCACATTGAACCAAAATGAGTTCCCGTTTTGGTTTGTTCAACATAATTAGCAAAAGTGAACGGCTTTCCCCAGAACTTCCCCGTCCATCTGTGTCTCCACCTTCCCCGTTCCTGCTCCTTTAGAACTGCACCCCTGACCCTGCTGTGGCAATTGGCTGCTCACCCTCATGCTTCCCCAGACGCAGACACTGGCCCTGTCCTTGCGCTCCCACCCCCCAGGGGCCGGCTTTACCTTCTGCACCCCAGACTCCTCCACTCAGAGTTTTCAACTCCTGGATGCTGGTGGGTCCTCCCAGGACAGCTGGGCTTTCAAGCCGCCCAGCGCTGGGCCTCTGCTTCCAGGCTGCCCTCACCCAGCCCAGAGGCCTCTGTGGCCCTGACTGGTGGGAGGAGGGAAAACCCTCAGTTGAGCAGCAGTGGGTCAGATACCACCTCCCAGCCAGTAGGATGGCCGTGGTCAGAAGTGGAGAACAGGTGTTGGCGAGGGTGTGGAGAGCCTGGAGCCTGTACGCTGCTGGTGGGAACGTAGACTGGGGCGGCCACTGGGGGACACGGTCTGGTGGCTCCTCAGTAGCTGAAACAGAATTATCATACAACCTAGCGATTCCACTTCTGGGCATAGTGTCAAAAGGATTGAAAACAAGTGTCCCAACGAAAGCTTGTACATGGCCGTTCACAGCAACATTGTGTACAATCATCTAAGGTGGAAAACCCAAATATCCATCACCAAATGAATGGATAAACAAAATGCGGTCTATATGTGTAATGCAATAGTCTTCAGACACGTGCTCCAAAATGGATGAACCTTAAAAGTGTCACACTGAGTGAAAGAAGCCAGATACAAAAGGCCACATATTTCATGATTCCACTTGTATGAGGTGTCCAGAATAGGTAAATCCACAGAGACAGAAAGCAAACTGCTGGTTGCCAGGGGACAGGGAGGAATGGGGAATGAGTGGTAATGGGTGCAAGCTTTCTTTTTGGGGTGATGAAAATGTTCTAATATAGACTATGGTGGAGATGGTGCAACATTGTGAATGTACTAAACAACTCTACACTCCAAAGCGGTTAGTTTTATGTTGTGCGAATTTTACCTGAAAAAAAAAAAAAACTAAAACCTAGAGCTCCAATGAGTCTGGCCCATGGTGGTCACCAGGCTGGACCCCAGGTGGCTGAAGATGTGTGCTGGGTAAACTGAGTTGCCTGGGTTGGAACAGGGTGGGCTGCTCAAGCTCTGGAAATTCTCCTGGGACATGTGATGTGCATACCCCCCATTTGCTCGTTAGACAGATGTCTGGGGGATCCCCATGTTGGGGGATATGGCAGCGGGACTGAGTGCCTGATTTCCCAGCTTGTGGCCGCGTCTCTGATCTTTAGGTTTCTTATCTATAAAGTGGGGACAAGAATAGTACCTGCTGGGAACATAAAAAGAGGCAGGACCTCCAGAGGCCAGTGAGTGTGTGAAATACAATTATTATTTTGTCATGGATGCTGGCCATCCCTCAGCGACCAAGGTAGATTGAGGTCCTGGGCGCAAAGCGCTCATGGAATGTCTAGAGGGCAGACACTTAGGTTTGGGGACAAGGAGCAGGAACAATATTCCAAAACACCTCGCTGCAGTGGCCCGCAGGCCAGGGACACCACAGATGCTGGGTGTGGGGCTTGCCCTTCTCTGTCCGCTCCCCGCCCCCAGCCACATGCAATAGACTTCACATTATTCCTGTCTCTTTGCTTCTTGGCTCCCATTCAGGTGGGCAGCAGGTGCTTCTGACTAAACCTAGATCTGGTGTATGCCCAGCGGCAAAGAAGCTGGGAAAATGAGAACCCAGACGGGGGCCCTGTTTCCTTAGGAGGGTATCCGCAGATATGGTTTGGGGGTGCGGGGGGTGCTGACCCTTGGGGAGGAAGACATGGGGGAGAGCTAGCGACCTCAGATGAGCACACGGTTAACTGATGGGAGTTGCGATCCATGTGTGGACATGTGCGCAGTTCCTGGGAAAAGGTAGAGACGGAACATTTCAGGAAAAAAAAGAGCTAGGGCCCAAGTTGGGGCAGGTTCAGGGCCCAGGCTGGCTGAAGGCACTGGGGGGGAGGGAGGATGGCATGGTGGAGGGCCGTCAGCGTTGCAGGGGGTCCCACCTGAAACCCTGCGTGAGGCCCCTTCACACCAATAATCTGGCCAGAGGTCTGGGCCTGCGGGACCTCAGCTATGGACCCAGTGCCCTTGCCCAGATGTGGGACTGCCCTGCACCACAGGGCTGGCTCCCTCCTGGGGCCCCTTGAGGGCCCTGAGACTGGGTTCAGTCACAGGAGGGCTGCTCTGAGCTCCAGCTGTGGCCTGCCGTCTGGGGCCCAGCTGCCGCCTGCCGGCCTTGGCCACCTCGCCTCGCACAGCCACCTGGGCGGCTCCACACCCCAGCTGCTGGCCTCTGAGGCCCAAGAGGGCAGGGAAGTGGGGGCAGACAATCCCACTCCCCGCAGCGGCTTGCTCTGAGAGGAGGCTCTGCTCCCCAGCCAGCCAAGAGCCCATCTCCAGCTAGGAGCCAGGAAGGGACCTTAAGGCCAGAGCCTGCAATCACGGAATTTGAACCCCCTT